TGACGTCGTGAATTGCTTAAGCTACCTTTTGTTGTTCTGGGAGGTCAGAAGACGCCAGTGAAGGTGTTCTCAATTTATCTTAAGAGCTTCAACGGAAACTACATAGATCATTGATTTATTAGATAGACGTCTCTATCAATCTGTTATCTCTTTTACAGTTGGAATTTTATTAAGGCTGTTACGAGGAATAAATGCTTCAAGCTCAGTTTACAAGAGAACTTGAAGTTTTGTTTTTCAAATAAATGTATCTCTAGGTGTGATCGTTTCCAGATTATTCGAACACATTGGCGATTTATCAAGTTTGAACAAAAGAAATCACAATAATGACAGTGTCAGGATATACGTAATGTTAACTAGCATAGATTTTCACAATCCAATTCTTCGTTTTTCCCGGCCCTTTAGTTTTAGTTCTGATAGAGAAAAGGTATCAAACACTCAAGAGATTAATTGTTTCACCACATTTTCAAACACCTCGAAGTTAGCCAAAAATACTCCGTTGCGTGTTGTATTTTTAACTCTCAAAACATGGTCTCTCGTGCTTGATATTTTACTTGAAACGAAAAGCCACACATACAACTAATGAGTTGTTTTTGTTTTCGATAATTATTTTTCAGTCTTCACTAATCTGTGGCTTGTTTTGTTTCAGCTCTTACCGTTCGATTCCTAACTAGACGCTTTATTGGGGAGTACGATGAAAGCTTAGGTGAGTGTCTCAACAGCAGGCGGGGAAGTGAAGGTGGGAAGGGGCGGGGGAACACATACAATGCCCTTACTAGCCTGCAAACAGGCTCCCAGCGAGGGCGGAAATAAAGAATTTTGCGAACGAAGCGAGTGGAATCCGCGAGCGAACCATGTGTTCCCCTCGTCACCAGACCGCTGTCGGCTCACCCGGCTCACCCCGCTCGCCCTAGACCTCGCTCGCCTAGCTCGCACTAAACCCTACTTATCTTGTTTCTTAGAGATGACATACACACATCACATGAATCTAGACGGGCAATATGTGGCACTTGCTATCATGGATACAGCCGGCGAGGTAAGCAAATTTAACTAACGCAACAAACAAACAAACAGAAACTAACTACTAGTTGTGTTGATTTTTCTTCTCCCTTTATGTTCACCCAGAACACAGAACACAAAGTGCAACAGTGCGCAGCTTTTGGAGACCTGATCTTCATTCTGTACTCCATCACGGATCGGTTTTCGTTCATGGAGGCGAAACGTTTGGGGAGATACATACGAAGAGTTAAAAACAATGAATGCATCCTTATTCTAGTTGGCACCAAGAAGGACTTGAAACATCACAGACGAATCAGCCTAAACGAAGGACTTGGGCTGGCCAAGGAGATAAGTTCTGCATTCTGTGAGATTTCAATTTCAGAAGGATTTGTCGAGACGAATTCTCTTTTGTATGAGTCTTTGAGGCTGCATTTGAACAATAGAACAGAGGAAGAAAATGCGGACAAGGAGAAATTGAGTCCTTTGTCACGGATGAAAGAAGGATTTAGAGGAATATACGCGAGACGAAAATCATGCTCAGTCTGATGCGGTTAAAAGGGAACTTCAAGGAAGGACGAAAATAAACAATAACACAGGACAGCTTAACTTCATGGCGTCGACACACATTTTAGTCTTGTAGAATCACATAGTAAAGAAAAAAATCGCTTTCTGATTGGCTGACAAAGATAGGCGTTTTAAAATTTGTATTGCATGGATAATTGCTTCCTAATTCGCTTTCGGGAGACATTTTTCAAGGAGAAAATCCATAGGTGCTTACTGTTGCAGTTTTTTTTTTACTCAAGGACTAAAAGTTTGGAAAAATGAGTGGATGGTAGAACCATTACAGGGACCGGCGGCGGAGACAATTTGAAAGTGGTAGGGCTAAAAAAGTCTGGCCAATACAAACAAACGTTAAGGTCAGTGTTTCGCTATTTATCTTGCACATTTGTGCGCCATCTGGAGCCCTGGAAAATATATCCCAGCAATAAAAGTGGTAGGGTGATCAGCCCCTCTCCCTCCGCGGTCCCTGCATCAAATAATTAGGAATTTTCGGGGGCATTGGGAATTTCGCAGGGTTAGATCTTGAAAGGTGAAAATGGAAGAATGGCTCTGTTCATATGGTGCAGAGCTTTTGCCGTAGTTAAAAAAAAATATTCAAAACAGATTTCCTTTCACAACTACACTGGTATGAGTAGAAGGAATTGACACGGTAGCTGTAATATTTCTTCAGAGTGGTTTTGGTTATTTGAATGCCATTTTTGGTAACAGCTCTAGGTGTGTAAAAGAGTCGAGGACATTAAATTACAGATCTGTTACCGCATCAAATCGTTTTGCATTTGTCTGAGAACTGTTTCTTCGCCTAGTTAGAGGACCTTAGAGGTACTCATACCATCCTTACACTGCTTGTGTTTGAAAAAATATATATTTTCTACTTGTGTTTAAACAAATAAAAGCCATTCCAAGACGACATTTTCGGATATTGATGCGTGTTATCATTTGCCAAAGTCTGGCCATAACAAGTCAAATGCACCTTCACTTTAAGCCTTATACTCCCCACGTTTTTTATTATTTTTCTTCCTTTTTAGCTGATTTTATCAACCGCATGTAGATCTACAAATCAACCTGACATCACCATAATTTTGTAAGTCTGCCCAGGGAAAATTGACATCAAAATGGCAAAGAAAGTTACCTAACTCAAATCTTGGTTACAAGGATTTAAATAGCAATTTGAAGTTGGTAAAAATTAATTGCTGTTATGGTGTTAACTTCAAAGAGGACGGAGATAAATCAGATAATCAGTAAAAAGAAAAATAGTGTCACTTTGAACATTGCGTGACTTTTGAGACAAATGTTTGCAAGTTGCGAACAACCTGGCACTACCATTTGTCACATGATTGCCAAGAACTCTTCTTCGAGAGAATTCTCTCAACTCTAGCGTGGTACATTGAAAGCGTAAAATGGGTTACGAAAAAGTTCCGACAGCTTACAGATAACGTTAAAAACTTTTTTTAAAAAAAACTTGTAGCAATATATCACATATTATAATTTAGCGTTTGGCTTACCTCAAAATACTGTCCCGCCGATTCGAACGCCGACCACAAATCTCAAAATGTTCTCTTTCTACCACGCTAGTCCTGTTGCTCGGTCGCTTCAACAACTGGTACATGTCGTTCGGGCGCTTTCCAAGTCGTTTCTGTTTCTGTTTCAAGAAAGCCGCTTCACTACTAACAAAAATTCAACTTACCAAAGATCTCACGTGATAGTATGTCACACAACACTAAAATGACACGACTGTTTTTCCCGCGCAAAGTAACAAAAATCACGCCAACTGAGCTGTCACGTGGCACTGCCCCAGGTCCAATGGGATTTCCGTCACATTTTATCTTGTTATTTTTCCTAGCACTTCCTTCGTCACCAGAGCAAAGCTGGTCGTTGGAAGTAAAACTCCAAAACTTATCTTCTTCTCTAGTTTTAGCGTGGCGTCTACACTCCACACACAAAAAAAATTATACTAATTAGCCTTAGTCTATCAGACTGAGTGTTGTTCTCAATTACTATATCGGCGTTTAATTTTTTGACAGAGAAAACATCAATTATTCCTTTGAATTGCTTTAATTATTATTAGATCAAATGGACATTTGATGCGGTGATAAAAGGTAAGATTGATCTGTTTTGACAGCTAGGAATTGATAATCCTTGGCGTAAACGTGACTTGTCAAAACGTCGCTTTCAAAAAAGTGTCTCACGTTTTCTCATAGTTCCACCGAAATGTGGTTGCAGTTGTTGTTATGGATGAATTCAGCCCATATGAAACCCATTCATGGCATTGCAGCAAACCCGTTTCTTTAAGAATTAGAAAGGTTGGCGCCCACGGCCTTTCAAAGGATCGGCTTCAGTAATTTCATTTCTTTAAACAAAAGCCAAACCCCATGAGATCAAGACGCCCTTCCGAGTTATTATGTGCTGGGGTGCCGTCGTGTCTGTAATCACATTCAAGACCTTCCCGGTTTCTTTTCGAGACAGCACTTGCTTTGGCTTTGTTATTGAACGAGCCGGCGAGAACGCTTGAATCGTTTTCTTTGGAGTCAGAATCCGCTCCGTGTGTCATGAAGAAAAGACGTAGTGGCCATGTTCACCACCATACACTCAAGGCTATTCGTGCAGTGGTTCTGGGAAAGGACGGTGTTGGTAAATCAGGTAGGTTGAACATTTCTTTTGTGTAGCATGATGGCTGCTTTTGTCAGTTCAAGTATCCTACAAGGAGCAGTTTATTTTGGAGCGAATTCATGATTGTAATGATTAGTGTTGCAGTTTTACACTTGGCACCGGGACTGAAACCTGACTGTCCTCATATCACACAGGCGCGCGTTTTATGCAGGCTACAGGATAATTCCAGGAACAACGTATTTTTCCCTATCTTCTGTGGCCTACCTTGGATAAAGCGTCAAACTGAATGTAGATTTCGCTTAACAACCTATCAACAAACGTGAAACAGACTGGGTTATAAGCTTTTAGTAATGCAAAATTTGCTCTACAGTTCTTCTGATACAGTATGATATGATTTTATCAGCCGTGTGTAACCAACGTGACCTTGCGCAGCATAAAATATAACAATCTGTTAAATTTTCTGTTTTGATTTAAAGTCTTATTGTTGCATAGCTCGCTTTCAAATTTATAAGTTTATATAATTACTAAATGTATTCTTCTCCTCGTGTCATACATGTGATGGACTTATTTTTTATTTGATAGCGTAATTATCCAAGAATTCGTGTCGCTAACTTTTTGTTTATGTTTTTTCGTTCATCTCTTGAATACCTCTTAACAGACTAACAGACGGTGTTAATCCACCTTTCATTCATNCAAAACGGCTGAAAAACCCTACCCTTTGGGGCCACACATACCTATATAGCTCATATAAGGGAGTACCCCCACCCCCCGGAGTTTTAAATTAGCTTTTACTGGTTTATACTGCCCTCTGTCTTCTTCTCTGGCCGGTTTCAGCTCAATTTTCAATCAGCGTGTCAAATTGTTGTTGTCACTTGCGAAAGGGTTGCACGAAATCATTGGCAATGTTCATGAACGTTCTTGCCTCTCCAAGCGTTATATAGCTCCTCTCCAGTTTCCATTCTTCCAGCAGATAGCGTTATCGCTCAATTGACATTCTGCTTATACTTGTCTTCTCTGTTGGCTGGTAGTACCGTAAACTGCCGCTTATAAGCCCCCCCCCCCCCCCCCCCCCTTTATAAGCCCGTCCGGCTATAGACCCATCAACATTTAAGCAAAACACTAACTCCAATTATAAGCCCCCTCCATTCTAATTTAGAGTGAAATGAATTCGATTTATGACGATTCTTTAAAGCTTTTAAAATTACGAACCGGTATATGAAAAAGCGTATTTCGATCAACACTGATGTGGTTCTTTTGAAACGATTTTTTTATTCCGCTTATAAGCCCGCCCCCTCCTCCCGATATAAGCCCCTCGGTTTATAAGCCCATCCAAAACCCTTTGGGAAATTGTATACAAACCCAGGGCTTATAAGCGGCATTTTACGGTATGTTTACGAAAACTAGACCCTTTAAAAGCTTCATCGATTCCCATCCGGCGGGATTTCTTAACAAAATTACCCTTTACTCCTCTGCAATGAAGAATTTCGCTTTGTAAATTATTATTTTTCCCTCGCCTTTCCCATACAGAGGCCACATATCGGCATCACCTTATAATCGATGGTCAATTTGTCTCATTGGATATCATGGATACAGCTGGGAAGGTATGCTTGATTTTGTTATTGCTGTCAGTTATAAGATACAGACTTCGAATTCGAGTTCCTTGATATTTCCTCATAAACGTGCCGAATTAACCCTTTGACGCCCAAGTGGCCATATACGGCCACTTAATGGTTGTGCTCTTTGTACCACTTGCGACGTTATCAAATGTCACCAGATATTCTTGATAAGCAGATGGTAGAGCTAGGATGGGCCTTTTTGCACAATGGTCAGGTTTAGATATCGACAACATTCCAACGTCGCGAATCGAAAAACAACGTTATCAGTTTTGGTGCAAAAACGGTGGTAAAATGGTCCACAATGCCCATGATTGATCAAGGTCTGGGCCTCGCCCATAGTTAATATCCAACTTTT